ATCCAATGACTGTAGACAAAGCAATTGCCAAGGTTTTCCATACAGAAGGAGAGAATGCTTTCACGTAAAACGGCATAATAAAATAATTTAAACTTAAAACTTCATCTTTCTTTTTAACCCAGTGGTTTCCCCCCCTTATTTCAAAGCTTACAACTGAATGCTCTTAGGATGTGGTGAATGATGGAAAAAGTCTTTTACGGACCCTATCTGTCTTCCCAAATCAATTTTTTTTTAACCGTTTCTTACAAGCTACTATAACACATCACCCTCCTCCCTTTCAATTTATGGAGCCCCAATATCTGGGCAAAAATTGAATTAAATGGCACTTAGTTCACCCCCAAGAAGTTTGTCACTTCACGTGTCATCTAGCAGTGGAAGAACTCAGAGAAGCCAGCAAGACAGCAAAGTTTCCATTAAAATCAAAGAAAAAGATAATTTAAAAACTTAGTGCAAAAAACAATGGCAAAAGGAATTTGTTTGTTTGGTTTTTTGTTTTTTTTTTTTTTAAGTAATTACAGGGCACCCTGGGTGGCTCAGTCGGTTAACCGTCTGCCTTCAGCTCAGGTCGTGATCCGGGGGTCCTGGGATTGAGCCCCACTGCGGGCTCCCTGCTCAGCGGGGAGCCTGCTTCTCCCTCTCCCTCTGCCCCTCCCCCCCCACTCATGCTTGTTCTCTCTCTCGAATAAATAAATAAAATCTTTAAAATAAAATAAAAAGTAATTACAAACAAGGCAAGATAAGCCAAAGGGGCTAATGCCAGGACTTAGGCGGGATGCTGGCTTGGAAAATACCCTTCTAGGATAAGCTTAGGCAAGGACGGTGAGGTCAGATGAGACTTTATTTTCTCCATGCTGCTCTGGCAATTAATTAGTCACCATTCCCCAGTTTTTCTTTACCATCTCTCTGTGTATTTAGTCACTGGTCACCTGTAATTTCCCAAATGAACATCTCGTTTGTGTCCAGGTGTTGTAGGCCCCGTGAAAGAACTTGATTCTCAGAACATGTCGAGAATTTGATACGTATCAGTATTTCCTTAGCTAATAAACTAGGCCCTCTGATTTTTAAAATAAAACAGGGAGGAGGGTGAGGTGATGAAGAGAAACAGTCCATATTTGACCCGGAACTGGTAAGTTCTGTGGCTGACCCAAATTTTGATCACTTCTCAGAGGCTTGTCCCACATCCCATAGATAACTAACGCTAAACTCATTCCAGGGGATTCTCTACTGTCCAATGCTCCTGAAGAAAACAAAACCCAGTGGCCCAAAACCCACTCGTTTTTAGAATCCCAGCCACCACATTCCACACACATTTCTTGGGAGTCTACCTGAAACTGCTCTTTCAATGCCTCTCCCTCCTGAGTCCTGAGCTGCCTTGGCCTTCATTCCGTCCGTTCACTAGTTTTAAAAAAGATTTGGTACTCACTCTCAAAAGGCCATTTCATTTGCTTACCCTCACTGTGAAAACAAGTTACGAAAACAATGGGGATGGGGGGAGACCTTCCAACTCTTTTCATTCTCAAGAAAAGCAGAAGTGAATCCCAGGAAGGAGGTGTGGACTTATAAGGATGTGGCATTTCCTCAGGATTTGGTGGGAATTCATTGATTTGATTTACAACAATTGAGAGTCGCCTCTGTGCTTGGAGTTTCTCGCTCCAGCTGGTGTGGGGATTATTTTCCCTCGGAATGCTCAGCCCCAAATACAAGGACACCTTCAGGAAGAGGAAAAGGAAGAAATACAGTCTCGGAGCCTCGGATGTGAACCAGGAAATTCTTGTCCACTGCACTGATTTAAAAGTGCCTAACAAATTCCACTAGCTTTTTGGAGTTTACTAGTGTGCTGGGAGGTTCTCCCCTGCACGCGCACTCAGTGCCTTTTGCACTAAGATATCCATATTAGTTTTCCATTAGCCCAAAATATCCTTTACTGAAGAGAATTAGGGATGCCGGTTGTAACGGGGAAAGGTACCCAGGTCTTTGTGCTCCTCGAACCCTCACTAAACCTTCAGGACCAAGTAAAGTTCAGAGAGTGATGTGCTTATTAAAGCCCACCCCATTCTCATCTCCCAAAAGCCGGTTCCTACTGATCCCCCTCACACACTTGGTTTCCACAGAACGAATTACTTGCTTTGTGTACATACACTCTTTATTCTTCTATCCCCATGCCCTGGTTTGCCTTGTAAATAGTGCCTGCCCTGTCTCTCCATATGCCCGAGTGCCACCCGCTTCTCGGAAATTCCAAGTACTGTGTCCACACCTCTCTTACAGCCACTAGTTTTCTATTTTGCATTGCAGTTATTCTTTGGTCTTGGATAGGACGGTAAGCTCCCTGTGGGCCGGTCCCTTGGCGTCCAGTACAGTGCGACGCACACACAGCGGATGCCCTCTACACGTGAGCGGAGTGAACAAGCTAGGGTCACACTTGAATAAACCAAAGTGACTGGCCAGAGGCTAAAATTTACACCCTCGCCCAGAAATATCTGTGCAGTGAACACAACTCCTGGATCAACGGGGATTAGAACAGGAAGAGCAGAAAGTCACGTTAAACTCAATTATCCAAAACCGGGAAATAAGGCAAAAAGAAGACTGTGAGTCCTTTCGGGGTCGTACTAGATCGTACTAGGTTGTACTAGATTGTACTAGATCGTACTGGTGCATAGCCCACCAAGGCAGCCTAAGGAAGGGTCGTGTAACTCTCCAGGCTGGCAGGTCACAGAGTTGGGCTTTACTCCTGATCCAGCCTTAGTCTCTGCAAAGTTAAACAATAACTTGGAGAAAACGGATGATATACAACTCATTTTGCCCAGACATTATGACTTTCCTGCCCTTTGGGTCACGAAGCAGTTTTGCATCTAACTTAGCTCCCGTATCCTAGCGCCCTTCTCCCCGCACGGCGCCCCCCGCGCCCCCCGCGCCCCCCACGTGGGGGGGGTATGGGCTTCTGCTCTGTTCCTTTGGGCCAGCTTACCGCCTGGCTGCCTCCTTCAACAATGCCTTAAATAAGCCTTCAACAGACTCACTGGATTATTGTATGAGAACCGGATGCTCCATTTTTTGAAAAATTACGCTCTGAGACTATTAATAATTATGAAAAAGGGACACATAATAAAAACAGTAAAAAGGTCCCTCAGTATCATTTTCCTACTCATAATTAATTTTAATATTTATCTAGAATATATTTCCCAAATACCAAATTTATTCACCCACAAGGATTCGTTTCCATTCCTAAGGCTTTATACAGGAACACAGTGAAAGGAATGCATACTCTTTACTCCTTGTAAATAACTTCCAATGGCACGTACAATCAATGCAGTAATAGCTTTATTTAAAAAGCCTCTATCACATCTAAGTATCTAGTCTTTTGGAATAAAAATAAAATCTGCTGGTAAATTTCTATCTATCATTTGAAGTTACTGAACGTTACAGAAAGTCATTTTCCATGTTAAAACGAATAGCATTTTGTAAATTCAAGCCATACTAATATTGTATTAGGAGCAAGACAGTTGTTCTGAAATCACTACAGGCCATAATAGAAACCAGACACCAAATGCTTTAAGAAGTAACTAGCTGAAATTGAATGAAATAATCACCCAATCCATAAAGCCTTTGTAAGATTTCCCCATAAAACACAGGTAATTTTTTTTTTTTTTTACTGAAGAGAAATTATTCTTTCTTATTGTCATAAACATCAAATGCCATCACATCATAAAAATAAAATATAGCACATGGATCATTCCATTTTGTTCATCCATTTATTCCTGTAACACATATTCACTGTGCCCTACGATAATGAAAACATTATGCTTGTTCACTGTTATTTACCATGTTGTTTAATCAACAAGGTTCAAAATGGTCCCTGGAGAGACCCTTGCCAAAAGCAAATCCATTATTTTTTTTTTTTTTAAGATTTTATTTATTTATTTATTGGAGAGAGAGGGGGAGAGAGAGCGAGCGAGAGAGAACACATGAGTTGGGGGGGAGCAGAGGGAGAGGGAGAAGCTGAGCACAGAGCCCGATGCAAGGCTTGATCTCACAACCCTGAGATCATGACCTGAGCCGAAATCAAGAGTCGGATGCTCAACCAAATGTGCCACCCAAGCACCCCAAAAGTGAATCCATCCTAAGCAGAGGGTTAGAAAGATCTGGGTTCTGCAATTTGTCCTTGGTGTCACTGCCACCTGCATACTCTTAACTTAATCCCGACAAGTGATCCGTTTCATGGAAATGTATCTGACAACTAAGAAGCATTTAATGTGCATCTGCAGTGGATTGAATTGTGGTTCCCCCAGAAAGATTATGTCCAAGTCCTAACCCCCGGTATCTGCAAATATGACCTGGTTTGGAAACAGGGTCTTTGCATATGTAATCGAGTTGAAGTGAATTCACCCCGGGGTTAGGATGGCCCCAATCCGATGACTGGTGTCCCCGTGAGAAGAGGATTTGGACGCCGACACAGAGACACACAGGGAGAAGGCCATGGGACCACAGAGGCAGAGGTGAGAGGGCTGCAGCTACAAGCCAAGAACTCCAAGAATTGCCTGGAACTACTAGAAGGTGGGAAGAGGCATGAACTTGTCCTCCCTAGAGCCTTCAGAAGGAGCAAGGCTTGATTTCGAACTTCCGGCCTCCAGAACTATGAGAGAATACACTGCTATCATCTTATGCCATCCAAGTCCGGGGTGATTTGTTACAGCAGCCCCAGGGAAACTGATACAACACCTTTTGTACAGGGCTTTTTTGGATGCTCTTTGTAAAGGCGATTAAATCTACAATACTAGGAATGCTAAGTAAAGGAGAGCTGTCATGGCGGCGGCAGTGGGGGGACAAAGCAGGGCATGGGCAGAGTCTCCGAGATTCTAGTTCCTTCCAATTCTGTCCATCTTTTATATTCGGCTTCGGCAAAAGAGCTAATTTTGAAAAGATTCCCATCTTAAAAATGCAAAGGCGGGGAGGGTATAAAACCACGGGCTAGCAGTTTTCACGTGCAACACAGTGACACTCACCTCCACGTGTTGACAGGTTTGGATGAGTTTAGCCAAAAGGGTCTCCAGTTCCGTGTTCCTCTTGATAAGGCTGGTGAGGTTACTCTCCAAGTTTTGCTGTTCAGAAAGAGAAGAAAAATATTATTCTGCATCCTGAAAATGTTATGCTGTATCCTGAAGTATTACATACTTTTAATAACAAAATTACTCATACTCAGGAAAATCGGATCTCTTTTTCAGAAGCCTCAATGAAATCTACGCAGCTTTAAGCATTTATAGATTTATTTTCTTTTAAGATTTTATTTATTTATTTGAGAGAGACAGAGCAAGCACAAGCAGGCAGAGGGGCAGAAGAAGACGGAGCAGACTCCCCACTGAGCAGGGAGCCCGATGCGGGGCTCGATCCCAGGACCTTGGAATCATGATCTAAGCCAAAGGCAGACGCTTAACTGACTGAGCCACCCAGGCGCCCCGCATTTATAGATTTAAGCTCGACTTTGAGGAGCTGCATTTAAAAGAACCTTTAAAAAAGGTTCAAATTTCACTCTTTTTGTTCCTGCTTCTTGTACAAACCTGGGCACATTTACCTGAATAATTAGCTATAGGTGGTGAACTAGGTGAACTAGAAAGGAGGTAATTGGATTTCTAGTTCTTTACCTGAATCAGAAATGGCAATAATATAAGGAGTATATTCCCACAGCAAATCAACTATTATTGGATTTTCAGGATTTACCATTTTACGGGCAGGCTGAGGTCAGTCCCTCAGAGGAAGGTTTGCATTATCTGGCTATCACTGACATTATGACTATTGATAGGCATTTATAAGATATAAGAAGTCCCATCATACACATTTACTCACTCATAGTACATTTTATTGTACATGCTTCTATTCTTTGTCTACCAACCTATCAATGCCAGATTAAATTTCCTTGAATGCCACATTTTTCATATAACTATCCGGCTTACAAATCTAGAATTATTCCCTATTCCTTTAGAACATCAAATTTAAAGTCCCCTGCAATGACTATTAAATCTAATTTTCAACCACAATAACCCACTTCTCGTTCTATATGTTATTCATTGATGCCATTCATTTATTTAGCTATTCACACAAGTATTTATTGAGCTTCTACTACATGCCAGACTCTGAGAGATACTGGGGAAACACAAATAAAACTCCTACTCCTTGTCCACGAGGAGATGCAACTGGGGGAAAGATGCTGTGAACGAGTCAAGGGGCAGAGGTCGGGGCTACCCGGAGAAGGTTTCCCGGAGGACACATTCTTTCCACTGAGGCTGGAAGGATGGGTATGGAGTTTTTGGTGAACAGCAATGGGAACTGCTTGGGAAGATGGGATGGAGGTAGAGGTGGCCACAGGCAGGGAATAGAACAACGTCATGGACCAAGATCAGGGCAAAGGATTAGGGCAGACATTTTTAACAGTTTTAACGGTTAGACAATTCCACAAATACAGTGAAAAGACGGAATGGAAGGAAATTTCATGGAAAAGAAAATAGATCGAGGATTTGTAATGCCATCTGCAAAAAAGGATTTGAAAAGAGTATGGGGGGGGTGCGCCTAGGTGGCTCAGTTGGTTGGGCGACTGCCTTCGGCTTGGGTCATGATCCCGAAGTCCTGGGATCGAGTCCCACGTCGGGCTCCCTGCTCAGCACGGAGTCTGCTTCTCCTCTGACCCTCTCTCCTCTCATGCTCTCTCTCACTCTCTGTCTCTCAAATAAATAAAATCTTTAAAAAAAAAAAAAAGAGTACGGCGGGCATTTTGAAAATCAATCATTTCATCAAGGTGGTAATAGTTCACTATGCCATGAAATTAATTTCTGAAGGCATTTACTCTTTCTGCTTTCCAAAATGTTAGATTTAGAAAAGTATATTCAGGAAAAGAGTCACTTTTATTTAAAGCTTAAAATGCATACGTCAGAAACAGAAATCTCTCTGGTCATTCTTAAACAAGTTCTGCTTATTAATCTGGTCTTTATCTTATTGCCCAATTTTTTCATTTCAATGACCACATTTTTCATTTCCAGTGGATTCTTTATCACATCTCCCTCTTCTTGACTTACTTTCTCTTCTTCTTCCCAGGATGCAATTCCTCCCTTCATAATTTCAAGAGGACTAAGCATACTATTTATTCTTAAGCTTACTTGAAAAAAGGCAATTCCCTATTTTCCTGTGTTTGTGCAATGTTTCCCAAGAGTCTGATTTTATCTCGTATCTTACAATTTTTGTCCGACGGCTCATCTGATGTGAACTTTGCTCCCCGGGCTGGGATCTGGGGATTAGCACAGCACAGCCAAGCGAGCTGCCCACTCGGATGTTAGGGCGTGAGGTCGTTTCCCCAGAGAGAGCGCTCCCGCAGGACACCCGTGTGTTAGAGAGGCACAGATCCGGGTTTGACTCAGTGCCTCCCTGAGGCATTCTGTCCCTGAGAATTCTGTCTGGCTCCAGTTCCAGAGAAGGTGGGAGGTATCCTTTGAGTCCACTGTGTCCACTGGGAGTCCTGGCCTCCAGGTGTATGGGACAGTCTGAGGCTCCTGCCCCATGTGTGACACTCTCCACCATGTTCCCCCTCGGGGTCCCCACCACCCTGGCTCATCTCCACTTCTCCTGAGTAGCCCAGCTTCAGCCTTCCCCCACCATTCTGCATCTCCTTTCATTTCCGGTCCTTGGAGACTTTCCACTTATGTTTAAACTTGTTATTATTCTTCGAAATCCATTTGAAAATATTTTATCTGTAGTTCTCATGTGTTCAGAATTAAGAGGGAGGTTTGGCACTTTTTTTCATCGGGACTGGAAGACCAACAAGAACGCTTCGATTTTGGCTTTGAAACACTCAAAGCGTCTCAAATACAAATATTTTAAGGGAGAAAAGTGACTATTTCCCACTTAAAGGATGGGATACCTTAACATAAAGTCATAGAAGGAGCTAGACAGAGTGATTAAGGTTCAAGTTAATGCTCTCATGGTTGTATCAAAGAAAACCTTGCTTTCAAAGCTCTTAACAACAACAACAACAACGCAGACAACAGCCAAAAGTTTTTCTGTTTGGATGAAATGAATCACAACCACTAATCACTTCATGGTCAGAGACTAGAGAATAATTTTGAGGCATTCCATTATTCAGTGTCCTTGATCTAGATGTGACTACTTTATGGTATATTTGTCAACTTCTTTTGGTATGTTAATCTTAGGGAATCTTTCTCCTTGTCTTTTTGGCTGACCCCTCTGAGCAGGAAATTTCTAGGGAAATACATCATCTAACTGTTTACACTTCAGTGATCATAGGTATGATTTTTCTAAAGCTAGTCAGCAAAAGAGAGCCAAACAAATAGAATCTAACACATTTAGATTTTACAAACATCTGCTTGCTTCCCCTCCTTTTATTAAGTATACATCATGTATAAAAATCTGTTTTTAATCAACTAATATGTGGACTAAAGCCTGTGGTTTAAACACATTGACCTATCTAGATCCTTTGGGGTTATTCAAATTTAAATAGTACAAGTGTTACTGAAGTCCACAAAGAATTACCGAGTCACTTACAAGCATAATAAAGGGAAATGAAGCTGGGAGAGAGACTTGTTTCCAAGAAGTACCAAAGGGACTGACAACACTTCTGAAGAGAGCCCGGGTAATGGGGAGGTAACAAAATCCAGTCTTCAGTGAACCATGCATCCATAAGCTTCCACCACAGGGACTTCTGTGGAGCTTTCGAGAATTTAACTGGATCGCTCACATCCTGTGTGGCGGTCAGCAGGTCCTATAACCTCCTAATTTTGACTGCGCTTTGTGCACAAGAGAGATAATATTTTTTGGCATAAGAGTCTTGGGACTAAGGGTATAGAAGTATCTACTTCCCTACGGATATCTAAGGAATTCTACAGAGTACCAAAAAAATAGTTTTCGTTTCCTGTTCTCACCTCGAAAACGTTAATACATTTACATCTCCTTACGGATCCGAGCTTTGTAGAGATCCAAGGAGTCAGGCCTGAGTGACCACACATGCAGAGAGTGAGGAGACTGGGGCTACCATCCCAGCTCAATTCTCCTGGCCAGACGCCGCCTGGGCTCAGTTTCCCCATCCATGGGGTGTGGGTACAGATAGATCTCCCTATCTGCACTATTGTTAAGCTCAGGGGAGGAAATGGACACATACACCAGGAACTATACAAATGTTTGTTGAAATCGTGAATTATGGGAGAAAACATTCAGTTTGGTGTCAGTACCAGGCACTAGAGGGGCCCAACCCCGGGCCTCAGGCAGTCCCCACTCTCGGGCTTGCTGGTGCCTTTTGGCTGCCAAGCACCTGTTCTTTTAGGCACCAGGGTTTTATTGGGCCCCAGGCAGGGCAGGCTGGGGGGCTGGGGGGAACGAGGGGAGGCTGATGCCTCTAGGAGCAGCCTTCAGTCAGCGACCACTGGCAGTAGGTGGATGAAAGCCCAGCTTCCCTCACCTCCCGGGTGGGACCCCCCTGAGTCATGACCCAAAAAATCTTTCAGAGAGCCCCACTGAGAGGAGCCAGGTGCCTGTGGTGACAAGCGGCTCGCGTCCACACCCTCTTTCTGCTTCCTCCCCTCCTTGGTCCCGCCTCCCCTCCCCTCTCCCTTCCAGCTGCTTCCTGGGTCACCTTCCAACATGGATTCTGAGCCAGGGTCGTTTTCTGGGAGAACTCGACTAAAACCTTATTAGGAAAATAATCCTAAGCCATTATCGGTGCGTATTCCTTCTTATGAGGAGTAGCCAAATTAACAAAAGATTTTATTGTTTTTGAAAGACATCCGCAAATACAAGAGATTGTTTTTTCTTCCTCCACCTCCTGTCTTTCTTTTCTTTTCTTTCTTTTTTTTCGTTAAGATTTTATTTATTTATTTGAGAGAGAGAAAGAGCTGGAGGAGGAGCAGCAGAGGAGGAGGGAGAGGGACAAGCAGAATCTGCACTGAGCGTAGAGCCTGATGCGGAGCTCGATCTCAGGACCCTGAGATCATGACTGGAGCCGAAACTAAGAGTCGGCCGCTTAACCGACTGAGCCACCCGGGCGCCCCTCTCCCCTCTTTCTAGTTTTTTTTTAGAGGTCACATATCCTCCAAATTCCAGGCTC